GGCCTAAGTAAAGCACATCTTTCTGGAACAAATGACATTTCTTGGGATGGAGTTTGAGGTTTGCTGCTTTCATACGCTTGAATACTTCTTTTAGCCAGGACATTTCCTCATCAAACATTGTTGCAAACATGATGACATCATCCAGGTACACTAGGGCTTTCCTCCATTGTAGACCTTCCAGTACTCTTTCCATCAGCCTCTCAAATGTTGCAAGAGCACTGCTAAGCCCGATTGGCATCACACAGTATTGCCAGAGACCTTGGCCATAACTAAGTGCAGTCTTAGGTTTGTATGCTTCAGTCATTTTCACTTGATGGAAACCCGACTTTAAGTCCAGAGTTGAAAACAATCTGGCTCCACTTATGGCATCAAGAGTATCATCAATTCTTGGCAGTGGGTATAAGTCTTTTTCGGTTATACTGTTAAGAGCCCTGAAGTTCGCACAGCAATGTTGAGTCCCATCCTTCTTCTGGACTAACACGACAGGAGCTGACCAGGGACTATCTGATTTCTCGACTATCCCTTCTTTAATTAAGCCATTCGTGAGCTTCTCCATCTCTTGTCACTTTGCCAGAACTATTCTCCTCAGAGGGATCTTTATTGGGCAGTGATTGCCTGTGTTTATTCTGTACTCCACGAGGTCCGTGCAGCCAAGGTCATGATCTCCTTTTGAAAAGACGTCTGCATAATTTGCCAAAAGTTCTCTAACCTGAAGAGCCTGTGATGATGACAAATGGAATATGCTCTTTTTATAGAGGTTAGTTAATTGTTCTGGGAGAGGATGTCCTTTCTTTATGGTTGTATTTCTTGCCTTAACAATGACTAGCTCTACCTTCTGTCACATACCCAAAAATGCCCTTTCCTTAAGTGTCTGCTCACATTTAGAGAAATTAGCCACTGTTATGGATACTACTTGATGACCTGCCACAAATGACCTTCCAATCTTCACGTCCACTGGCCTGGATAGATCTTCCACAAGCATCGGGCTTCCTTGGGGATGTTCTTTTATTCTACCCCAACTTATCTTATTTGACATAGGGGTATTGTGGGTGACTTAAATGCTGTGATACGCAAATCAACAGATGCAACAACACCTACCAGAATTTGACCTTTGTTGTTCCCAAACGTCATTTTATCAAAGTTAACTACACACTTCCTCGGTAGTAAGTAGTCCAACCATAATATGCATGGGCCTTCAATGTCAGCCAAGTATACTTATTGTGTCTGTCCTTTATGTCCATGACCTCAATAGTTACCCACACTGGCTCCACAACCTTGCAGTATGTCCTGTCACACCACAGAGCTTCTGTACAGCTTCTGGTACTCCTTTGTAATCTTGCACCTTGATACTCACAAGGGTTTGCTGAGATGCAGAATCTATGACAAAGTTGCACTTTTGGCCTTCCAGCTTACCTGTCACATAAACAGTATGTGTGCTTGCCATTTTACACTTAGCTGTTGGGACTTTCACAATGGGGTTGGTGGGTGTCCCTCAACACCAACCACTACTGGTTTCCGGAAGCTGACTTATTGGTAGTATTCTTCTTACACTGGCTCTTCATGTGTTCTTGCTCTCCACTGTTCCAATAACCTTTCTTGGTAGCAACCTTTCCTGTCATGGCATCTTTCCTGTGTTGAAATTGCCAGCATTGAGCTCTCTTGTGCCCAGGTTTGTTACAGTGCAGCAAAGTCCCCCAAACATCTTTGAAAGTGGCCCTTTTCTGACCTTGAATCCTGATGACTGAACCAACCTTGGTAACTCTGTGCTGGACTTAACGTAGGATTCGAATTCCAGAGCTCTGGCCATTGCATCCTGCATAGTAGAGGAGTGTGCTTGCTTTACTTGTATCTTAAGTTGTGGACTGTCCAAGGCATCTACAACTGGTG